AGGGCTAGGCCCCTGCTGGCCACCTCCTACCTCCGCCACTGCGGGCAATGGCCAATTAACGTAATGCCATGGTCGTGGAGATGCAACATGGGGAAAGGGAGTTCGAGGGAGCCGACATTGGGGCGGCGACACCGTTGTGACGTGGAAGGGACACTCGGGAGTTTACGACACTGGCACGTCATATTTACACCAACAATTCACGTTTTTCCAACACATCAACTATAATGTTATAAATAAGAGAAAATTTGACAAATGTATAGCTTTGTGATATTGTAAATGGTGATATTTTTCTATAAATGCAATCAAAGTTAATTAGGTTCTACTTAAATAAATATGAATATAACACGTGTGGCAAGAAAAAAAAAACTCAAGTGGCGTGATGTGATTGCCTGTATATATAGATATATATAGAGACAGAAGCAAGTGTATGTCGATATTTACCCCCTGCATGCTATGCTTATCGTTTTAAATTCAGTTTGTCTAATTCACATGTAGATATTTTTTAAGGATGTCATATCTAAGCTCCCATAAATATATAATGCAGCAACAAGAAATAAAAAAACTTGGACAAAAAAGTAGACCACAACCAGAGTAAAAATCAGCTTATCTATGTCACATCTAGATGTGTTCTAGACAGACCCTTTAAATTACCGTGATAGTTCCATTTAAAATTTGTTATTCCATGGCACCCCTTGGGCATTCAGCTAGTGTATATAGAAGGTCAAACTTGCTGATCGAGGGATGCCTGTACAGATCGTTATAATCGCAACTATTAGTTCTTATCTACACATGCACTCGGCTGGGTTTGTTAGCCTGTGGAGCAACGGAGATTACATACTCCCCACTGTGAGTGCATCTCATGTAAGCTCGCGTGATGGCCAGATCCACAAGAGAGTTGACTCCCATCTCAGATTCAGGTCGTCGTGTTTTCTAGATAAAGAAAAGATTCAGATCATCGTGTCGACAATACTGACGCACGTACCATAGCCATAGAATAAATATTTACTTTCATGAAACGAAGCATCGAAGGGCATTTGGTCTAGTGGTATGATTCTCGCTTAGGGTGCGAGAGGTCCCGAGTTCAATTTGAAGAATGTGCAAACGCTAGCATTGCTCATTTGAAGAATCTCAACAGGAGGACTGTTGATGTTTTGGCTGCTAGGTTGTATTCGTATTACTCGTATGTCCATGAACTCACCAACACCTTGCTGAAATTCGTGGGTGAGTTATTATATCATAATTAATCTATCTCTACTCCTAATGTCTCAGTTGGTAGGTCGCGTTTCGGGTTTCATTTTCGTCCGGGTTTTTTTCGTCCCACCCTCCACTGGTTTTTTTCGTAGGTTTTTTTTCGGAGGTTTTTTCGTCCGCTCCTCTCGATCCCTAGAACTCCCAGAGTAGACGCCGCCGCCCGCCCCTTCCAGCCCCCACCCCCCAGCCCTAGCCGCAACCCCAACCCCATGAGATCGAGATCAAGCTCCGTCTCCCCCACGCGGCTGCACATCGGCGCCTCTCCTCCTTCCTCGCGCCCCGCCTGCTCCGCACCGACGCCCCCGCGCGGCCCCTCGCCGTCACCGCCACCGCCACCGCCGTCCAGCGGGACGTCCGCCTCTACGGCACCGACGACCGCGACCCCTCCTGCGCCGTCCTCACGCTCAAGCGCCCCCCGCGCATCGACGCCGGCGTCAGCCGCGTTGAGGAGGTCGTGGAGCCCCTCGACCCCGCCCTCGCCCTCACCTGCGTCGACAACCCCGCCCGTCTCGGCGCGGTCGACTCCCCCATCGTCCGGCTCGTCTCCGACGAGTACGGCGTCGGCGGGGACAAAGCGCCGTTCGTTTGCCTCGGCGGCTTCCGGAACACCCGCGGTGTCTATGAGCTCGAGGAGGGCGAGGGGCAGGGGCTCGTGCTAGAGCTCGACGAGACACACTTCGATTTCGGCACAAACTACGAGCTGGAGTGCGAGACCGCGGAGCCCGACCAGGCCAAGGAGGTCCTGGAGCGGCTACTCACCGTGGTTGGGGTGCCGTATGAGTACTCCCGGAGCAATAAGTTCGCGTGCTTCATGGCCGGGAAGCTGCTTCCGTGACTAGGTTTGTGGTTGGTCTTTACCGTGTCCCAAATGATGATTAAACCATGGTTGCTATAAAACTTGTGTTTCATTAGCACTTTCTTGCGACAATAGGCTTGTTCTGTGGCGAGTGATTTCAAATCTCACAAATGTAATGTTTAGTTCTGTAACATTCTGGTATTTGATAACTTTCATCCAAGAATACTATCTTGGGTGGCAGCATAGCAACACAAGGGTTTGCATTTCAATCCTCGTAAAAAATCTTGTCCTGGAGCA